AGAAAGAAATCTGACCAGAGAAACAATAGACCTATACAAAGAAAACCACAAAACACTACAATAAGAAACCAAAAGAGACTGGCAGAAATGGAGGAATATACCATGCTCAAGAATAAGAAGACTTTTAACATTGTGAAAATGTTAATACTACCCAAAGGAATCTATAGATAGAATGCAATCCCAATCCAGATTCCAATGCCATTATTTTCAAGAGATGGAAAAATTGATCAGAAACTTTATATGGAAAAAAAAAGAGACCTTGGATATAAGCAAAGCATTACTTAAGAAGAAGAGCAAAGTTGGAGGCCTCTTACTTCCTGATCTCAAAATCTACTACACAGCCCCAGTGGTCAAAACAGCCTGGTCCTGTTACAATGAATGACACATAGATCAATGGAACAGATCTGAGAACCCGGGAGTAAATCCATCTACATACAGTCACATGATCTTTGACAAGGGACCAAAACATACTAAGAGGGGAAGAGTCTCTCTTTAACAAATGGTGCTGGCAAAACTGGAACTCCATTTGTAGAAAAATGAAACAAGACACAAACTCACACCATCTCTACTTGGATTAAAGACCTAAACACAAAACCTATAACTATAAAGATCATCAATGAAAAAAATGGAAAATTAGGGGCTCTAATACACTATTAGGGGCATAAATACACTATTACACATAACATAAAAACAAAAGCAGAAGAAGACAATAGATGACTCAGACCTCCTAAAACGTAAACACTTTTGTGCATCAAATGATTTCACCAAAAGAGTACAAAGCGAGCACACGGACTGGGAAAATAATTTTTGCAATGACATATCAGATAAGGGACTAATCTGCAAAATTTATGGAAAACTATAACACTTCTACAAGAAAAGACAAGCAGCCCAATTAAAAAATGGGCAGAGGACATGAACAGATGCTTCACCAAAGAAGACAATCAGGCAGTCAACAAACATATGAAGAAATGTTTGCGATCACCAGCCATTACAGAGATGCAAATCAAAACAACAATGAGATATAATCTCACACCAGCATTAATAGCGAAGTTATGAAAAAACAGAAAACAATAAATGCTGGTGATGGTGTGGAGAGACTGGGACCCTCCTACATTGCTGGTGGTACTATAAGATGGTTCCACCACTGTGGAAAATGGTATGGCAGTTCCTCAGAGAGTTGGATATAGAAATACCGTAGGACCCAGCGATTCCTCTGCTTAGTATATATCCACAGGAACTAAGAGCCAGACCCGAGTAGATCTCTGCACACCAGTGTTCACTGCAGTACCATTCACAATAGCAAAAAGATGGAGGCAGTGTAAATGCCCATCAATGGAAGGATGGGTAAACAAACTCTGGGACATACACACTGTGCAATGCTGAAGAATAAGGATGAATCTACAAAACACTTCATCTATAGAGGACTTTAGAGGACATTCTGCTGAGTGAAATTAGTCAATAACAAAAGGACAAATATTGTATGAGACCATTATTGTGAAAATTCAAGATAAGGCTTTCATGCTAAAAGAAACATTCTTTGATGGTTGCCAGGGATGGGCGGGAAGGGAGAATATTCACTGTTAACTCGGGTGATGGGGAGGGCAAAATACAAGAAGAAGGAGGTTGGCAAAAGACTGATGAAGACACAGGGAGGTAGGTTTACAGGGATTAAAGGGGACAGAGGTCAATAGTGTTAGATACTCAACCCTGGAACAAGTGTTCTGTGGGTAGACATGGATAGATACACAGGCTGAATGTGTATGAGAGGGAGAGTGGGACTATACCCACAAATAATACACAAGGGTTTAAAGAGGATATGTATACATGAGTATTTCCCTTTGCTACAAACACATCTATGTCACGGACTATTCAGGGGGGGCAAAATGATGAAACATTTTCTATATTATCCAACATCTTAAGGCAATGAGCTGCTGGGCCTAGGGGCCCAGGACCATAGTCTCAGGAGACACGATGGTCAATTGGCACAACACAGTCCACAAAAGCAATGTTCTACAGCCTACTTTGGTGAGTAGCAACTGGAATGTTTTGAAAAGCTCATAAGTGGCCATCTAAGGTGCAACTATTGGTCTTTCCATGTGCAAAAAAAGGAGGAGTAATGAGAATTGAAGATGCTTGGAATCAACTAGCCCAGTGCTCCAGTGGAGCAGGTGAGCATCAATCGCCATGACTCTGAGACCAGAAGAACTAGATGACGCCTGGCTAGACACTACCAACTGTTCTGAAAGCCATCACATTAGAGGGTCTCAGACAGAGTGGGAGAAAATGTGAAACAAAACTCAAAATTATAAAACGAAACAACAACAACAACAACAAAAAGATCAGGCTTATTGGTGGCACTATAGGAGTCCTGGTGTGGCACTGTGGGTTAATATGCTGGACTGCAAAGTCGGTTTGAACCGAAAGTCAGCGGTTCAAGCTCATCAGATGCTCCTTGGAAATTCTGTATAGGGTTGCTATGGGTCGGAACTGACTCAATGGAACTTAAAAACTTAACAACAACTTGGCAGAAAGAGACTGGAGGAACCCAAGACTACGGCCCTTGACCACCCTTCAGTTCTGGAACTGAACTTCCCTCATGGTCTAATTTTCAGCCAAGCAGTAGATAGGTCTACAGGAGGAACAACAGCTCTGGTAAGGTGTGCTCAACTTGGAATGGCCGATCATTCCAGATCAAAAGGGCAACATTTACCTGCAGACAAAGTGGAGATGGGGTGGGAAGGAGGGTGGAATGGAAACAGGAACCACAGAGAGGAAGTGGGACAACTGTTGTTTCATGGGGGGGATTGCATTCATTGAGATAAAACAAAGTGCATGAGAGTAGACAGGGATGGGCAACTTGGACATTGGCTACCCAAAATGGGGTGGGGGGGCTACAAAGGCAAGAAGTGACTGGCTTACAAGTTTTCAAGAGGGAACCTAGAACTAGGGGGCCTGGAGGAAGGCAGAATCTCCAGTAAGTAGTATCCAATCTGTCTAGGCAGGGCTGATGAAAGGAAATGCGGCTGGGTCTCTTGTGATACAATAGTGAATAATTGTTATCAGGACTGATTGTAGGGTTGGAAATGTAAAGGTAGACGTTTTATAGCAAGGAGGGGAGTGATTAACTTTCCAGTCTAGGAGCAGAGGTCCCTGGGACCATCAAGGGAGAAGAGCAGAGAGTGGGACCCTACACCCAGAGAAGCAGTGATGCCTGAGATGGAGGCAGAGATGATGACGTGGAACGATGGAGCAGCTGGGGACTTTAGATACAGAGAGGGAGAGTGACTGTGTGCTGAAGACTGGAGGGGGGCGTGGTAGTGTAGGGGTCAGGCTTGCAGGGTATATACCCTTTGGTTGGTTGATGATGCATGGAGGGGATTGTAACCATGGCAATGAAACAATTTATGATAGAATGAATGTAAAACTAATGTTCTCCCATGTAAACTATCATATAATTCACAATAATAAAAAAAAAAGAAATAGGAATAAAAAAACTCCCCCCAAAAACAAAGTGTATGATTTGTTGAATGTAAAACTGATGATCTTCTCTGTAAATCTTCACTCAATTCACAATAAAACGTTTTAAAAAATAGTGTAGGGGGGAGAATAACTCAAAAGGATGAGTAATGAAGAGCTTCAGATAGTTTTCACCCATCTGCAAGGAAGGGCCTTTATTTGCATCTCAACCACAGCACACCCTGCCTCCCACCCACTTGCACGCCAAGCCCCCCCAACCGGTACCACTCTTCCCTCCTCACCCACCCCGACCAAATTAACTCTAATGACACATCTGACATCTCCTCTGCCTCTGGAAGAGTGGAAAGACAAGTGCTGGCCCACACCTGGCGGGCAGACATCTAGCAGAGACGCATTACGTGCGACTCTTCTGGTAGGGTATGATGGCCAGCCAACCTTCAATCGTACAAACCAAATGGCTGGATAAATTAAGTCAAGGGCTCTAATTGGCCCTGAATTAGACTCTAATGCTTTATCCTTTTGCTGGAAATGTTTTTCACTGTGGCATTTTAAGTAAAAGAGCTCTCCCTGATCCTAATGTCAGGAGACAAATCTTTCATTTCTCAAAGTTCTTTGCTCAGATAACGGCTGCTTCAAAACTAACAATTCTGGAACAATAAAGACACCAAAAATCAGCATTTCTCGCAGGCCACCGAAGTTGTGTCTAACACACAAAAGCACTCCCTGCTTTTCTTTTATTCTTCGAGTTAAGCAAGGGAGAGAGGGGACTCAAACACAGAGATGTGTACGCCACTGGTCACTGCAGCCCAAAGGTGGAGGTGACCTAAATGCCCACCAACTGATGGATGGATGGATAAACAGAATGTGCTATGTGCCTGTACAGACAACGGAATAGTATTCAGTCAGAGAGCAATGAAGTTCTGATACACGCTACCACATGGATGAACTTTGACAGCATGCTACATGAAACAAGCCAGACACAAGGACAAGCAGTGTCTGATTCCACTGAGATGAAATATTTAGAGCAGGCAAACGCATGGAGACAAAGTGAATTCGAGGTTTCCAGGGGAATGGCAAGTTATTTCTCTGAACGGGGACAGAGTTTCTGTTAGGGTGATAAAAAGGTTTTGGAACTAAATCGTGGTGATACTTAATACAACATTGTGAATATAATTGAAGTCACACTTATAAATGGTTAGAACGGCAACTTGTTACACTCTATGTGCTTTACCAAGGAGTCTTGGTGTGGTGCTGCAGGTTAATGCACTGGACCGCAAGGTCTGTTTGAACCGTAAGTCAGCAGTTCAAGTTCACCAGCTGCTCCTCAGAAACCCTATACAGGGTTGACATGAGTTGGAACCGACTTGGTGGTACTAAACACCAACATGCTTTACCATACATTTTTAAAATTAAAGTTCAGGAAAAATTTTTTTTAATGGTATGAAGAGGAAGATAAGTACTTAGCAGAAAAGAGAAAAGGTGAACAAATAAGAGGCGGCACCAAGCCATCGTCCCATACTTACTACTTGTTTCTGTTTGAGCGGTTTGACGCAGAAAGTCCCGTCTGCGTGCTGCAATGAAAATATGACAGTTAAGACAAAGCAGGGCGGGCAGTGGAACACCTGATGTTTTCCTCACTTCTCCTGTGAACAAGTGCTCTCGGACAGCCAGAGTTGGAACTGCAGAATCCTAACTGGACAATAAGCACTGGGCGGTTTGAATCGCAAGGTCGGTGGTTCAAGCTCACCAGCTGCTCCGCAGAAACCCTACACAGGGTTGCTATGAGTTGGAACTGACTCGATGGCTCTACACAATAATATGCAAGGAAAGGCGTTCTGATGGTGCAATGGTGAAGTGTGTGGCTGCTAACGGAGAGGTTGGCGGTTTGAAGCAACCAGCTGTTCTTCTGGAGAATGGAGGCAGTCTGCTTCCAGACAGATGTGCAGCTAAGGAGCCCTGGAAGACAGTCCCACCCCATCCTTACCGGGTCACTACGATCAGGAATCACGACCAACCACAGCAACAATATGTAAGGAGGGAGGAGATCCTTGGTGACACAAATAGTTAACATGCTTGACTAGTAACCAAAAGGTTAGTGGTTCAAGTTCGCCCAGAAGCACCTCAGAAGAAAGGCCTGGTGATCTACTTCTGAAAACCATATGGTCCTACTCTGACATACATAAGGTTGTCAGAATCAACCAGACAGCAACAGGTTAGTTTATATGTAAGGGTCTCACAGCTCTTCATTTTAGGAAAAAACTGAGGCTGATGGAGTTGAAGGTCATAGCAGTTGAACCAGGTTGGACTCAAACCCACACAGTCAGTCCCCAGCTGGTGCTCGGTCCACTCCACCACAGCCCCTCACCCATCTGCTGAGCCTGGGTGGGCAGTGAACACGACTGAGGGGCTTGACAGAATAAAGCGAAGCTCTAAGGTCACGCACTCACCTTTTCAAAAGTGCCTAGCAGTACATGGCAGTGACCGAAATACTCTGGAAGCAAAAAAGGAACAGGGATGAGGAAGAATGAAGACAAACATCACCCCCCTGGATGCCCCTTTACTGCCTCCACTTCTCCACCGTCTAGTGAACCTGAACATGCGGGGCCATCACCAGAAGGGGCATGTACGGAACCCAACACTGTTCTTTCAGTTCAAGGACCTCGGGCTCCTGAATGCAGGAGGCTTTGGGAAACTGCCCGGCTGGTCCCACAAAGCTGAGGGGCTGTTCGAGAGCTGCAGCTGCTGACGGACTGTGAAGCAGAGAGGGCGGTGTGTGTGGCCTACCATCGCCTTCGTCCACAACAGCGTGCACCACCAAGGGGTAAATCTCACGGTCCAGATCGAAGCCAAGCTGCAGAGGAGGAGGAGGAGGAGGAGGAGGAGGAGAGAAATAGGAAGACAACAGGTCTCAGCCAAGAGGCTGGAACCTCATCTTGACTCATTCATCAACTTTGTACTACTTCAGTCTGTGGAACGGAAAGCTCCCAGTCAGTTCCTTTTTAGCTATAAACCTATGAGCTTTCTCCTTAGAGCACAGATTTTTCAAAACAGACTCTCTGGGAAGAGAAAAATTAACATTGTTAGCTATAGTCCTGGTGCAAAATAAGTGGAACTTTTTCTTCCCTTTTGAGTAAGAAGCAGGCCTTTATTGTATTAAGCACAGAGATAAATATTTAGGACTTACAGCGCAGCTAACTTTACTCGATCTGACTTACATGCTTCATACACACAATCAGACTACAACTACTCAGCATCTTGTTTTTTCTATCTGATAGGATACAGTGAGTCTTTTCTGTGTCATTGGTCCTCAAAAACCTGAATGTGATGGTTATATTTAAAGTCCTTCTAATAATTGTACCACATTTTACTAATATTTAACCACTAAAATAATGCTGCACTGAACATTCTTGGTAAGTGGAACTTTAAGGGTCTGAAGGGACCACTTAGCTGAAAGGCGAGCCACCCTCTGTCTAGGCAGACCCTTCAGAATCCTGTGAGGTAGTCATCTGCATTGTCGTCCTGGAGACCCTGTCTGGTGTAAATGGTGAAAAAGCTGATGGCTGAGTACCCCCAGAGAAGAAAGGACTGGTGTTCTACTTCTAACAAGCAACCTGGGACAGCCCTGTGGAGGAGCACTCGTCAAGGTTGTGTGACAGATGTATTTGCAACCATGAGAAAGGGAGTTGCTACTGAGGCCGCTAATTACGACCAAGCACCTGGTGGGATTTGGGTCCTTGGTTTGGAGGGTTAAGGTCCTGGTTTCATGGGACATCCCAGTTAACTGGCCTAATAGCTTGGTTAGTGCTTCTGTTCTGTCTCCTAGTTTGCAGTGGACTGCCTGGGGTCTTACAAGTCTGCAAGTGGCTAGCCAATACACCACAACTGACCACAACACACAGCTCCCCTGGGGCAACAGAGGCAGAAGAGTTAGGAAAAGGAGGAGGAGAGGGGATAGGTGGCTAATTACCTTCGAGAACAACTGCCTTCTTTGCCCTGAGACCAGAAGACTTGGATGGTGACTGGATACTATGATTGAACATTTTGATCAATGATTCTATAAAATACTCCTTATCAAAAGGGGGAAATGCAAAATAAAATTTAATAGTTCTGATGGAATCCAGAATTTCTGGAGTCATGGAGACTGGATGAACCCCTGAAACTATTCTCCTGAGATCATCTTTAAACCTTAAACCAAGAATAGCCCTGAAGTTGTCTTCAAACCAAACAATTGTTTAGCTACTAAATGTCTGCCTTGAGCACTGTGCTCTTTTCAGATCTGTCAATATGATATCAAACTGACACCACGACTTGAAAGATTAGACAGGAAATTTAGGAAAAAGAGGGTACGAATGTAATCAACATTACTGAATCGTACATATAGAAATTATTGAATTGGTGTATGTTCTGCTGTGTATGCTCTCAACAACAACAACAAAAATTCTTAATTAATGAAAAGAAAACCCTAGGGCTCACAGCTCTACGCCGACACACATGGGGGATCATGAGTCAATGTAGACTTGACAGAAACTGGTAGACAGCTCACCTCCTCTTCAGCCCATTCCGAAGGGTCCACAGTGTGCGAGGGCAGGCAGAACTGCTGGCATACCCCTCGTTTGTAATGCACAGTCTCTGACTGCAGGCTGTTGTCTTTTGGGATGTAGCTATTGACCAAAGCAGAAAGCAAAGCAAAGGTTAGAACCTAGCTCAGAAATCTGAGTTTCCTCTGTCTCATGCCCGTTCTCAATTACCACCAGGCCCTAGGCACAGAAAAGGCCTCCTTGACAATCCTTTTGCTCTGCTCTTGGTCGATAATGCTATTAAACCTTTTTATCCAACCCACACATTCATGGAAAGGTCACTTAATGTATTTTTAATAGTGTCTTAATGACCTGAAGGGCTGGCGATACTGCCATCTCCCACGGTACTGAAATGGCACGCTTTGAAGAGAAAAGGTGAGAAAGTGGGGCTTTGAAGACCATCTGAATTCAGAATCAATGTACCTGTTGGGAAAAGAGTGTTGCCCTCAGCTGTCTGGGAAGGAAGTGGCTTACCTGGCCTCCTGTCTTACCTGGCAATGCCATTCTGGAACTCTTCTGTGGCTTGGTAGTAGATGGTGATGGCCACTCGAGCATCTGTGTCAAAGGTGAACTCCACATTGTAGTGGACTTTGGCCTTGCTGGCCTCTTCGCCAGGGCTCTTTACCTCCTCAGCGCATCTAGGGAACCGCAACAAACAACTCAGCATTTGAAAACACATATTTTCCCATTTCACCGAGCTTCGATGACTTGATGATCAGAACTTGAATACAGTAAGATAAAGAAATATGGTAATGGAAACAAGTATAAATTGCTATAATTTTATGAACTTGACCTATACTTATGGATGTAGTAGCTCAAAATGCCAACTGAGAGGGAAGGAGTTTTCACATCAAGGATCAAACTTATCCCCTCTGTACACAGGGTTGATAGGGACAGGCAACTTAGACCTAAAATGGCGGGGGTGAGGGTGGGGAGGCTGTAAAGGCACAAAGTGGCTGGCTTATAAGTTTTGAAGAGGGAGTTTAGTTTCAGAGTGTGGGGAAAAGTAGAATCCCCACTGAATAGTTTTCATGGTCTAGATGGGTCTGGTGAAAGGAGATGGGAATAAGATTCTTATGATTCAACAGTGAGTAATTGTTATCATGACTAATTGTAATTGTCACAACTGTAATGGTAGAAGTTTTGTAACAAATGGAGGAGTAGTTAATCTCACAGTACAGGAACAGAGCATCCTAGGACCATCAAGGGAGAAAAGCATGAGCAGAATGCAGGGCCCTATCCAGAGAAGCAAGGACACCAGAGAGGGAGCAGCTGAGGACTCCAGACTCATGGAAAGAGAGAGACTGAGAGCTGGCAGCTAGGAGGCAGACTTGTAGAATGTACCCTTTGGTGGTTTAAATGACTATATGTTCCTGAGTGTGTGTGTACATCAAAAAACAAAAAACCAGAGGGAACAGAAGCAAATACTTTTGAATGGTGATGCATGGAGGGAATTGTAATCATTGCAATGATATGAAATACGATAGGTTTACATGGGAGAACATCAGTTTTGCATCCTATCACTCAATGCACAATAAAAGCTTTAAACAAATTTTTATTTTTTGGTGGCAATATACACAGCAACACTCACTCTTCTTCCGTGATTTCTAGACAGAATGGTCAGGGCTACTGGCTCCGTTCTTCACCAGGTGTCAGCGTTCTCATCATTTCTATTCTACTTGTTTCACCTCCATTGACTTAAACTCCATGACCCACAAACTTCTCATCTATGCGTTAAAATGGCTGTTGACCCTTCAGCCCTACCAAGATTTAAAATAAATAAAATAATTTTTTTTTTTTTTTTTTTTAAGAACTCAATACTCAAGAGTGACAACCTCTACATTCTGGGCTGAACTGTTACTTAAAGATGATGTTTGGGGGTGAGTTTCAAGTCAAGGTTTGGGAAGCAGCTAGGGCTGTAGTCTCAGGGACTCCTCCCACCTCAGTAGGTTCAGTAAGTCTGGATTCTTTAAGAATTTGAAGGTCGGTTCCACCTTTTCCTCCTTTCCTATCAGCATCCAGTCCCTGATCAGCACTCTCAGATATGGGAGCTGGGCACCCTCTAGTTCTGGTCTCAGGGTGGAAGAGGCAGGGGTTCTTGGAGACTTATTAGTCCTGTAGTCCAGTTTCTTCTCTAATTTTGGGGTTTCTTTGTTTTTCTTTTGCTCCAGATGAATAGAAGACTCAGTATTTTGTGGGGAAGCACATTAAAAATTTGAAATTTGTCATCACCTTGTATTTGTTTCATAACAATCTATTGGTGGATTTTTTGCCGTGATCAGAAGCAGAGCATTTCATTACCACCATCCATTGCTGGGCATTCGGGTGATTTCTGCTACAATTAACATCCTTGTGCATTTGTCAGACTTTTTTTTTCTTTTCTTTTAACCAAAGTTATTAATCACATAGTTTAAATAGTTTCCACAAGGCTTGTTATAAAAACCCCCAGCAGGCTCCATTCCTTCCCCTTCTCCTCCTCTTCAGAGGAACCACTTTGACTGGATCATTTTGGCATTTACCCACATGTATCTAAACAACATGCTCCTGTTTCTCAGTTTTAGGCATTATCTGTTTATTTCCCACTCTGGAAATGAAGCTTTCTCCCTCCCCGCTCACTGTCACCCCCAGCATAGTTAGATCACAGTTTTGCTATTTCAGTACTATTATGATTATAGAAACCTATTCACAGCTTTGCCACAGAGCTATCTGTGATCTTTTTTTTTTCCCTGCATAACTTTTCTCTTAGGGTTAGCACTCATCTTGTGGTTTTGTGTGTGTTTTTTCCTTCAGTTGCTCACTTTTCCATGTATTTATCACTAATTCATACCTGACTCTCGGCTGGCGGCCTGATCTCTCCAGATGCTTAGCTGCACCGGCTGTCTTAGGCAGGCCATCTTTTGGAGGTGGTCCTCTGGAGCTCCTGTCCTGCTCTGGGCCCTTGGCCCCTGTCTCTGGCACACAGCCCCATCCCAGAATCTCCCCTCCCGCTGTCCTGGACATTCTGCCTCTCCTGCAGGACCGCATGTTTCCTGCCTCTCATGTCTGTTTCATTTTCGGGGCACACATATTCCACAGCTTCTTCAAAGAGGGTGTAGGTGTGCCGAGGGGGTAAACTTTTGAGAGCTTTTTTAAAAAAACAAAATACTTTAAATTTACAAAGTCATGTAATGACATGATTTTCTTTAGCAAAAATGAAATAAACATTGGCCTGACTCTACACTCATCTAAGTGACTTCTGGAAAGCAGAATGTTAGAGTTGATAGCGATCAGGGCACAAGTTTTATTCTGTAGTCACCCTTCCTGAAACATCTGCCTGAGTAAAGGACCTCAGTTATAAACATACTTACGAATACCACTTGAAAGCATGGCTCTAATATCCCAGCGTTCTTCTCAAGAAGTATGATTTCAATGGCTGATGGATGGCTTCCGCCTCTGAAGGCATCTCCTCTTCATCATCCACTAAATTCCAGTTTAGAGAAGTGTGTCCTTGGCTGCTGGGAAGCGTTCCTCTTTGATGCAGGTCACTGGTGACGTTCTTCCTGTGCTCCCTGATCGCCCTTTCTCTGGCTCTCTCGTGTGCGCGCGCACACTGTTAACTGGGGGCTGTATCTTCCACACCGTTCGCTCCTCTCCCTAGCATATCTTTGCTCTCCTCATTTCCTGCTCTCTGCCATTTTGTTCCACTTGCTAGGCCATCTCCTCAAAGTCTTAACCCTTCTACTGACGTTTTCACTTCTGTTATCATGCTTCTTCATATATGAGGCCCATTTGTTTCCTGAATGGCTGGTTATCTTTGTGTCTGTGAAATATAAAGAGAACATCTCTTCATCTCTGAGGCTCTCAATGAAGGCTTCTTCTTCCTGCGTACGTTTTGTTTCTTCTGACTTGCTTTGTTATTGTTGGCTCATTTTGTCACTGGTTTTCCTTACACATCCAGGAATCTTTGGTCATCTACTCATCTTTGAGAGATCCAAGGGCTGATTGGAACTCTGAGGACACAGTGGGGCTTGCTTGGGGGCTTTGGGCTTCACTGAGGGAGCTCAGTTTAGTACTTTGGATCGCTCCACTTGGGTGGTCAATCCCCCAGAGAAGAGTTTTCCTCTCTCCTGACAAAGGCTGGTTGCCAGCATTCTGGGAGAGGGGTGGGGAGGCAAATTGGAGGGCTCAGCATCCAGGATGCCTACATTCATTTTACCCTTTGGAGTCTGATGCTTAGCAGAGCCTGGGTCCCTCACGTCCAGACGTTCTGTTTCCATCACTCTAATGAGTATCTTCTGCCAGCTTGGGGGAGGTGCAGGTGTCTGGCTATGCAGTGTGAGGAAGGGAAGCTACTACCTCTTTCTTACACAGACATTTCCCAGTCCTCCTCACGATGGCCTTTCCTCTTCCACTCAGAGGTGTCTGGTGCCAGCAGCCTGCGTCTTCTGGGGCTACCTCAGTATGTGGTGGTGGTGATGTGCCGTGGAGTCGGTTCCGACTCATAGGGACGCTGTATAGAATTTCTTATTAGGCTGTATGTCTTTATGAGAGCAGAAAGTCTTTTTTTTCTCCAGCAGAATGGCTGGCAGTTTTGAAGTGCTGACTTTGAGATTAGCAGTCCAACTCGTAACCACTATGGACCAGTATAAGCAGGTGGATTCCCAGCTTTTCCTGCTGCGAGCTCAGCACCTGGATTTCTTGGGTCGATGAAATCATTTAACATCCAGCATCTGCTTCCCCGAGCAAACTAACGCTTGGTGCCGAAGCGCCTGTCCCTTTTCTCATGCCCTTTTCTTATACCTTTAAGCAATACTTTTATGGTTACTAAGGAGCTCTGGTAGCATAGTGGTTACGACTCGGGCTGTGAACCTTAAGGTCAGCGGTTCGAAACTACCAGACGCTCCGCGGGAGAAAGATCAGGCTTTCTACTCCCGTAAAGATTTACACCCTCGGAAACCCTGTTCAGGGTCGCTATGGGTCGGAACCCACTCGACGGCACTTAACAACAACAACAACAAGTGAGGTTTTGAGAGGGAGCAAAAGTAGCTGTCTAGTCCTCCATGTTTGCCTGGAAATCTCAGACTCAGAATTTCCTCTGTCCTCATCATCTCGGAAAACCAAACCACACCCTTCTGGTGAAGGTCTCTTCTCCCCCGCCTCTGTGTTTGATTTTGGCAACAGCCTGAAAGAGAAGGCCGATAACCGTGATTTTACCCAGGAGACCCCTGAAGATCAGATTGTTCAGTGAACATGGGGTCAGGATCGGGGCAGAGGGAAGGACTAGAGAGCCTGGGGAGCAAACTGGCCCTCGGCCCCCAGGTCTGGTCCCCCAGCACAGCACAGCCGAGCCACAGGCTGGGCCCCTGGTTCCACCAAATATGTGGACATGCTGTAAGTGTCAGGGTGACAAAAAGGAGAGCATGCCGCTAGGCCTCAGTGCAGTCTGCTCCCACAGGGGCCGGCCCGTCTCATGAGGCTGAGAGCCCAGCCGCAGACTGCTCTCTGCAGACAAGGCCCTTCTGGAGCTGGGCCTGGGGATGGGATGAGAAAATTAAAGCTGGGAAGCAGCAGAACACTTCCGGGACAGATCAAATAGAGATGATCAGAGAGAGACAAAGCAGCTGAGTGGTTGGCTAGGGCTGAGGCGGGGTGTGAAACAAGTCTACAGTTGGAGAGGGGTTAGTGATGGTTAGACAACTCCAAGCCATCCCACTGTCCATGCTAAATCGGGGAGTGTCTGGCAGTGACAAGCCTCTCAATAAGGTTGTTACATAAAGTCAACTTTCTAATGCTAACAGGGGAGTCCTGGTGTGGCGCTGTGGGTTAATGCACCAGACTGCAAAGCCATTTGAACTACAAAGTCAGTGGTTCAAGCTCACCAGCTGCTCTTCGGAAACCCTAAACAGGGGCACTATGGGTCGGAACCGACTTGACGGCACTTAACAACAACAATACTAATAGGAGCTCTGGTGTGGTGCGGTGGATTAATGCACTGGACTGCAAAGTTGTTTTGAACCGCAAAGTCGGTGATTCAAGCTCACCAGTTGCTCCTCAGAAACTCTATACAGGGTTGCAATGGGTCGGAACCGACTCAATGGCACTTAACAACAACAATCTATCTACTAGAGAACACGTTGGCTGTAGGATAAATGCTGAGCTGTAAACTACAAAGTCAAGTAGTTGGAGCCCACCAGGGTTGCTGAGTCAGAACCAACTCTACAGCACTTAACAACCATTTACTTATCAGGGTGTCCTGATGACACAGTGGCTAAGCGCTCATGAGCTAACAGAAAGATTGGCTGTTTGAGCCCGCTAGTGCTCCAAAGGAGAAAGATGTGGCAGTCTGCTTCCGTAAAGATTCAAACCCCAAAACAGGCCTGTTGCTGTTAAGTGACTCACAGCTACCCTAAAGGACAGAGGAGAATTGCCCCATAGGGTTTGGCTCTACTGTGCAAAGGGTTGCTGTGAACCAGAACTGACCAAACAGCCCCACACAAACACAACATACAAGGAAGTGTGAGATGGTCTCCGAGTCGTCATTCTTGTTCACTTGGATAAATTGGAGCCTCAGATTTACCATAACCAGAGAGAACCAGAGAGCCTAGAGGACCCAAGGTTGGAGGGCTGGGGTGAGGCCCATATCCGCTCAAACATCACCCTCACTCGTGGGCGGCCCAAATACAGCATGGCGATCATCAATACTGATGTGAGACTGCACAGCCAACCCAGATTTGTGTGTTGCTCGGAGGAGGAGCACATGGGATTAAGACAACCTGCACCATAAACAATACAACACGGATTGCACATTCCAGGCTCAAACATGCCATTTCTGCCAGTGGCGCTGCCAAATGCACTTTCTACCTCTATGGTTGGCTTTTTTTTTTTTTTTTTCCCAGCTCCATAAACGGGGATAAGATCAACTAGCTCCTGGGGGAGGGGACGGGGAGGAGATTCCTCACCAACACAGCCCATCACATCAAGCTCTGGACTACCATGCAGGCAGGGAGGAGGCCCTGGTGGGAACTTACTTGACTAGTCTCAGAGTGTCCTTTCGGATGTTGACGAGGCTCCTCAGAGTCTTCACCGGTTCTTGGGGAGGTGGGGCGGCGTAAGGAAACTGTCAGAACAGAGTGGGAGAAGGTAAGCAGTCAGTTTCCAACTGAAATGAGGACACCGAGACCCCAGTACACTAAAGTGGGCTCGCTCAAGGCCACATCTGGCAGTAAATCTGGCATTCCATGCGGCGTTAGGAGAGCCAGGTTCAGCTTTTCTTCTTACTCTATGCACCGGGTACCATGTGGATCTTAATCAAAACTCCTACTGAAGTTCCAAACACCCAAGGATAACCCCTGGCTGAGCGCATCACAACAGGCTTTGCAGTCTGACTTTTTGGATGGTGGGAGTAAACCTTCTCCTCCCCTGGAGCCGCATGGTGTCTCACAAATAAAGGAGAAGTCAGCGTGTGTACAGAGCTGAGGTTTGCACACAGAACAAGATCAATGCACCCTGCAGTGGGTCATGTACAGCAGAGCTCTGCACCATGTAGGGCCAGCTCTCTGCTGGGGCCAGCCAAGAGTCAGGGCTGTCTGCATCGTTCTTACACTTTCTATTTCTTTACCAGATCAGACCTTCGGACTTAGACTTCTGAGGCGATGATAATGAGGAGATAAAAAAGAAAGGGAAAATTGTAAGAAACTTGAACTGAGAACTGCTTTCCGAAGACTAAGAAAGATTAAAAATGTTCCTAGTATGACCAGCATGTTATTTGGGTAATATAAAATTTTTACATACAAGTCACATGTATGAATTATAATTTACATGTAATTGTAAATCTGTAGTACTGTGAGCTATGGAAGCGCCTGCCTCTAGAGTGCTGATGGCAGGACACAGGACATCCATATATAACCTGTCTTTGCTGAGTGCAGTTGCTTTACTAGGGAAACATAATTTAGCCACTGGGACATGTGACTTCAGTATTTAGTGTGCATACTGAGCATTCACATGCCTGAGTTGTGACTCTTGAGAAAGCACATTCAAATGAAATCATTTGCATACAGATTATTCATTTTCTGGGTGAGACATAGTGTTAAAATGGAAGGCAGCGGCATCTGACTTTCTCTGACTTCACAGCCGGGCAGGGGAGTCAAAACCAACAGCCCAAGGCCAATTGCTGTGAGGCAGAGGTCAGACATGTCTCCATCCGCAACTCTTTAGACAATTCTAATGCCGATCGTTCCATCGTTCCCCCCACAGCACTCTCTACTTCTATGCTGCGCTTGATAATTCCTTGCAATGGCCACAGAGAACTCACAGAATGCTCAGTTCCGGGGTTTATTAGGGAAACAACTGGTTACAATTTAGGATCAGGAAAGCTCCGGATACAGTTCTTACGTCAGGATAGGAGTCTCTCCACCGTGCCACAGGCAGGCCCCTCTCTGGCTCTTTACCCATCAGCCTGTCCCCACTCTGTTTGGGCAAGTATTACAAAGATCTGTGAGCTCATTTTCCAATAAGTGTTCATAGGCATCTCACTCAGCCAGAAAGCATTCAGGCCAAAGGCGCTCAGCTTTCTCACTCTAGCTTATCCATGTCTCCTGGAGTCAGAGCTGCCACCTTGGGTCCAAAGGACATGCTCTACTCCTGGCTTCTCTTCTTTCTTGATGTTGGTGAGATCTCCCTTTCTGCCTCTGGGATGGCTTATTTTAAGCCAGGTGGATGTCAAAACTGACCAATTCCCATGTTAGAATTCAGTACTTCTTATTTAAATGGTCTCATTCCATGCCCTTTGTTTACAATCTGCTGCTGCACAAGACCTTTTTAAAGTGTTGAAGAGCAGAGATGTCAGCTTGAGGACTAAGGTGCGCCTGACCCAAGCCATGGTACATTCAATAACCTCATATGCATGTGAAAGCTGGACAGTGAATAAGGAAGACCGTAGAAGAATTGATGCCTTTGAGTTATAGTGTTGGAGGAGAATATTGAAAGTGCCATGGACTGCCAAAATAACCAATAGATCTGTGTTGGAAGAAATGCAGCCAGAGTGCTCCTTGGAGGCCAGGATGGCCAAACTTCGTCTCTCATCCTTCGGACATATTGTCAACAGGGACCAGTACTGGAGAAGGATATCATGTTTGGTAAGGTGGAGGGTCAGAGAAAAAGAGGAAGACCCCCAGCGAGATGGATTGGCCAAGTGGCAGCATCAATGAACTCAAGTATGGCAACGATTGTGAGGTTGGCCCAGGACCGGGCAGTGTCTCATTCTGTTGCACATAGGGTCGCTGTGAGCCGGTACAGACTCAATGGCACCTAACAACAACAACAACATAGGCATGCGAAAGCTGAAGGATTAATGAGACTGGAGAAGAATGGATGCGTTTGAATTGTGGTGTTGCAGGAATGTTCGGTACCAATTCTATGGCACCTAAAAACAGCAATCTAAGCCCCTTGGTGGGCCACAAGCACTTCCCATTTGTATAGCCCTAAGGCTATGGTTGTTAACTTCTGGTGGGGCTGTAGGATCAGCACTGGACTGCGAAGCACAAGGTCGGCGGTTCAAACCCACCAGCTGCTTCTTGGAAACCCTATACAGGGTCACACTGAGTTGGAGCCGACTCGACAGCACTTAACAATAACAATGCTATGACGTGAAGGGCTATATCCAGTCATTCACCACACTGCACATAGCACATACACTGATACATTAATGTTACTGTCATTGTAAAGTACTATCAAGTCAGTTCCGATTCATAGCTCGAACTGCTGAACTGTGGTTTGCAGTCCAGTGCTTACAGTACAGAGTCACCATGCTCCACATTAAATATTTTTTAAAAATGGTAGTTGCCTTTTCTAATTACAAAAGCAATATATGTTCACGTGGGAAACTTGAAAAACCACGACACAGTACAAATCAGTCATAATTCTATTCCTCAGCAATGCTAACTTTAACACTGCAGAATGGAGCCTTGCAAGTTGTTTTCTACGCATCTATCTATCCTGGTGGGTGCTGTAGGAGGATAAGCACTAGATTGCTGACTGCAAGTTTGTCAGTTCAAACCCACCAGCCGCTCCTTGGAAACCCTATACAGGGTTGCGATGAGTCAGAACCGACTTGACAGCACTTAACAATAACATCTATCTACCAGAGAGCACAATGGCTCTAGAGGGTAAGCACTGGACTTCAAACCACAAGGTCAGTAGCTGGAGCCCACCATTTGCTCTGCAGGAGAAAGATGAGGCTTTCTGTTTCCGCAAAGATTTACAGCTTCAGAAACCTGATCTATAGGGTTGCTATGAGGCGGAATGGACTTGACAGCACTTACCAACGACAATCTACCAGGGAGTCCTGGTGGCACGGTGGCTAAGCGCTACTCTGCTAACAGAAAGTGGTTTGGTTGAACCCACCAGCGCTCCATGGGAGTAAGATGTGGCAGTCGGCTTCCATAAAGATTCGAGCCAAAAAACCAAGCCTGCTGCCGTTAATGGTTTTGCCTCATAGTGACCCTAGAGGGCAGAGCAGATCTGTTTCATAGGGTTTCTTAGACTGTCATTTTTATGGAAGCACATGGCCACACCTTTCTCTTGCATACCATTTGGGGATTCGAGCCTCCAACCTTTCGGTTAGCAGTTGCGTGTGCAAACACTGGGCCACCAGGGTTCCTTCACTAAAGGTTATTGTTGCCAGGTGCCATTGATTACCCATTTATAGGGATCCACAGACAACAGAACAAAACACTGTCCGGTTCTGCACCAGCCTCACATCGTTGCTCTATGTTTGAGCCCACTTTTGCAGCCACTGGGTCATCTCGGGGGGTTCTCCTCTTTTTTGCTGGCCCTCTACTTTTGCATGATATCCTCTTCACGTCCTGGAGTATATGAGTCCAATCATGCCATACTTCTAAGGCGCATTCTGGCTGCATTTCTTCTAAGATGGAAGCATTCATTTTCGGGCAGTAGGCAGTATTGTTGTTGTTAAGTGCTGTCAAGTCAATTTCGACTCATCACAACCTTATTTCTGAGGAGCAACTGGCGAGTTTGAACCACCAACCTTTCTGTTCAAGTCGACCTTGCAGTCCAGTGCTTATCCTACATCAGAACTCTGGCAGAAGGCAGCAGGTGGAGTCAATATCTGTCACCAGCATCGTAATTCAAAGGCATCAGTTCTCCGACCTACTAAATTCACTGTCCAGCTTTCACATGCATAGGAGGTGACTGAAAATACTATGGCTTGAGTCAGAAGAATTTTAGCTGTCAAAGTGACATCTTTGCTTTTTTTTTAGCACCTTAACGAGGTCTCTTGCAGCAAACTTTCCCAGTGTAATATGTCATTTGATTTCTTGACTGTTGCTTCCGTGGGTGTTGATTATGAATACAAGTAAAATGAAATCCTTGACAACTTGAAGTTTGTCTCCATTTATCATGATGTTGCTTATTGGTTCAATTTGGAGGATTTTTTGTTTTATGTTCAGGTGTGATCTATGCTGAAGGCTGTGGTGTGTGATCATCAGTAAGTACTTCAAGTCCTCTTCACTTTCAGCAAGCAAGGCTGTGTCATCTGCATATTGCAGGTTGCTAATGAGTCTTTCTCCAATTCTGATGCTGCATTCTTCTTCAGATAGCCTAGTTTTTCAGATTTGTTCTGTTTAAACAACTGCCTTTTGGTCTATGTACAAGTCCTGAGTGCACACAATTAAGTATTCTGGGATTCTTATTCTTCGCAATGTTTCCCATCATTTGTTATAATCCACATGGTCGAAAGCCTTTGCATAGTCAATAAGACAGCTTTCTGATACTCTTTGCTTTCAGTCAAGATCCATCTGATATCAGCAATGATATTCCTTGTCTGTAAAGATTACAGTCAATAGACAGACTTACAGACAATAGAAAGATTACTGCCATCCAGTCAATTCCAATCCACACTGTCCTTCATGCTCAATCTGAGTTAGAATCGACTTGATGGGTATGGATTAATCTACATATGTCTTATATCAAATTACACATACTATTTCATAGTTTTTCACTTAGCAAGACTTGGTAAACATTTTTTAAAGTGTCTACAGTAGAGGTACTAATCTTTATTTAACCAATTCCCTATTATATAATGCTTTAAGTGGGTTTTTT